CAGTAGAATTTAAATAATGTAGAATGTTATTTCGTTAAACGATGGAATTGATAAGATTCAAATAAGAATAAGGACGTGATTGATCGAAGTTGTAGATCAAATTTAAGATATTAGTATTTGTAAGAGGTAAAATGTTAACTCGATTAACTTATATATAACTTACGTATTTAAAGATTTTTAAATCGATTTTATAATTTAATGAATCGAGGAAGCATGGGGACAACCGTCCTCCCAAATTCGAGCAAAGTAAAACCTTAAAGGTTAAATGAATCATCAGTAATGGCAAATTAAAAATTGGTACTTGTGTTTTTATTTGTACAAAAATTTCAGGAAAATCAACACCCTCTGCCCACTCAATCACACGTCCCCCATACGCCCATGTCTGTCTATCTGCTACATAAGAAGTTACATAAAATATGAATGATATAGAACAAACTATCGAGATTTTAGAGACAATTATATATGTTTATTTTTCTATATTAAACTACTGTATTATATAGATTCAATAACCGTAATTGAATTCAAAATCATTCATCTTTAATGTTGATTTAAATTAATACAAAATAGAGTTAGATAAGACGTAATTCTACTCAATAAACTGTACGATATAATATTAAAATAAACGAAAGATTTTATTTTTTAATTAAAATAATTAAATCGAAACTTATAATAGTAGTTCAGTTAAGCAAATATAAACAGTAAATTTCCTTTTAAAAAAATAAAAAGACAAAACTGTGGATCTCTACTTTCTTAATAAGGACTCTCAGTCTATTGTTGATATTTTACGAGATGGGCGGTTACCATTTTTAACCGAAGAAACGATTAGATTTAGAATGAAAAAAAGAAATTTTTATGATACGTAACATATTGTTGTTTTCGTGCTTTATACTTCAATAACTTCAGACGTTTATCCTGTATCCAGCTACACAATAAATAAAATAATTAATAAAACATTCTTCGAAATAAAAATTTAACTAGTCTTTAATTTAAATTGATATTTTGTAATATAGTTAAATAATTATAATGAGATTTTTTAAAAGCAGATAAATCGGGTAAATGTTGACATAATTCTCTTTCTTCCGAAGATTTTCCTGTTTTGCTCAATGTTTTAAATGTAAACATATTTTGTAAGACATTAAGTGAAAGGAAACGTCACGAAGAGAAAAATCACCTTGACTCGATCGCAAGGTCAAGGAATATTTCATAAATTAAATTTTCCCTACTAACGACAATATTCTGTTAGAATTAAAGGAAAGACGTTATTTTATCCACAAATCTTATCTCTTTTTTTTTTCACTCCATAAGAGCCGCCGGTGACAGATTATCATCTCTCCTACTCCTCAACAAAACGATATTATTTCCACCATCTCTCAGCCTACTTTACAGTGGGTAGACTGGTTTAAAACGGTTCACCGTCCTCTTGATTAAAATTTCTCTTAAAGGCATTTTTATAATATTACTAGCTGCAAGGACCCGCTTCGCTGGGCAAAAAGTTACGATAGTGCAGATTAAGATAATTACATTATAGCCAATCTTACCCGTTTTCACAGAATGCAAGGATTAGGTCCCCCGTTTCCAGACTAATTAGAGAATTTTTACGTTTAGTCAANACTTTCATTGTTTTATTTTCCTCGATAAAACAATGGGTTTCTATGCTTTGGTATATTAAAAAATCTGTAGTTTCTTCCTCACTTGAATCCAAATACATATTCATTTGTCAGAAAATTTAATGTAATGTTATCTGTCGGTTGACATTGATATACGTATATACAGGGCGATCGAAAGCTTGTTTAAAACCCGGTGTAGAGCGGGCCCTTTTTTACCTCTTCGCGGGCCCCTTTAATTATTTTTTTGAACAAATAAAATACATAGAATGTTTATTAATAAAAAAACAATCTTAAAGATGTTTTTTTCTGTTAATAAAAATATAAATTAATAATTTTATAAAGGAAGGAACCATTACGCTTCCCTTTTACTCCGGGAGAAAATATCCATCTCTCCTCCTTTGACAGCTCTTTATATAGGGTATAACTTATATATTTAAATTTTACTCAAATATATCATTCATTCATTCATGGAAACGGTTCAATGATCTTATGTTTACCTTATTATTTATCGTGATTTATGAGTTGGAGATTTATAACCGGTATAAATCAAATTCAAGGAATGTAAGCATTATGGAGATGAACGGTTGTTTAAATAGAATTTCTGGATTGAAAGGATAAAAGGCTGCTTAAATTAGAATGAAAAATAATAGACTGTAACTCGATATATTCAGTAGAATTTAAATACAGTAGAGCGTCGTTTATCCGAAAGCCGGTTATCCGAAACGTCGGTTATCCGAAAGCATTCCAATCCGCAAATTTAAATTTTCGCCAGTGCTGTGGCGCTGCAATCTTCGGCTATTTCTCGGGCTACTCAAATATTTTACGTTTTTGATACTAAATTAACTTNAATGTAAATGGGGTTTGCTTGAAAAATTTCCGCAGATAAAGTCGCGGGTTACAGCTAGTATTTCAATACTTTCACAGAAAATTATCATCCGATGATGGCTCTGACAGCAAGATTACTTAACCTAGAAAAACTCGTATAATTTATTTAATACTAGCTTACCCGTCGCGCATTGCTGCGATCTCAGAAGAAAGGAAATTCAAGCCAACTCGTTAGGATAAAATTCAATTTACATTTCATCATTTTTATTGAAACTTATTATTATTATTCATTTTCATCGGGAAAACATTTCAAAGTGTCTTTTCAATTCTATTTATTTATTGGAGTGCTTGTGGATACACGATATTTTTTGTTTTTCCGTCAGGCGCGCGTACACGAATAAATCGGAAGGTTTTCCGACGCGTCAGCCGGATACATACAGTTGTCCATGCGAGATGCGCGGATTTTCCAAATTTAGCCCATACACTTGCAGCGATTGTCAGAAGTGCGATGTTTCCCATTTTTATATATATACTAGCTGCAAGGNTGGTTTAAAACGGTTCACCGTCCTCTTGATTAAAACTTCTCTTAAAGGTATTTTTATAATATTATATTAAATGGATAAATTTTAAAATTTTATCGGTATATACCGCCTCCCCCTTCCACCGAAATGATCTACGTAATGTTTATTTAAGAGGATCCCTTCCCAGGATGGGAACGTTCTGAAAACAATAAAGTAATATCGGCCAGACGGGGGATGAGACTAAGAAAATGGGAACGCCTATTCACTCCACCCATTAAGCAAGTCAGTGACCAAACAGTTTTAAGAAAACAATCACATATAGTCCTTGTACGGGAAAGTTTGCAATTATATTACCATCTTTCAAAATTATTTTGTTTTTAATATTGTATTTAATAGCTTGGGTTTTTTTTTTTTTTTTTTGGTTTTACACGTAAACAAGTCCTACGATATGACGTAATATGTTAAATAGATTAGAGAGAAATTTCATAGGACAATTTTGGTAAATGAAATTCGTATGTATGGGTTTTAAATTGTGCAATTAATTAACGAATGTAAACACGTTTCTAAGAAGAGAAAGATCAGAAAGATCAGTAAAATTGTTGATTTTAAGATATTAAATGAATAAAAATGAAAAAAAGAAAACGAATTTTTAACGTTAGAAAGTGAATTGGACTAAGGTAAAACGCTCGTAAAACTGGGAGGAATCCAATTTAGCCCGAAGTCAAACCACAAATGAGGTTTTCCATCTTTATTATCAGTATTGTCCGGTAAGCCAAAAAGTCCATCAAAATTCCATAGATTATATGAATGAGAAAAATAATAATAATTATAATAATAATAAAGTAAAATTTCGGTAAAATTATTTAAGTAAATAAAAATGATATTAAATTTCAACCTACACTCGATCACGGAAAAGTAAAAGTTATAGATTAACCGAACGTATTTCTCAGGTTTTTCCAGACATCAAGATTATGCAGAAAGGTCATGGCTTTATCTACGTACATTACTTGCATTCTTAAACTAGGTCATAGAAATTCAGAGAAAGTGACGCTATCCTAACAATAGCAGACGAGTAGAGATGTCAGAGGTCGAAAATGGAGGGTCACGATGCAAAATCCCTTCACACGGCAAGCACTGGAGCTGAAGAATTTGGGTCATAAGATGGACACTATCTGAGCAGCTCATTTATAATAAAGAAAATGAATAAATGTTTGTGGGAAACATTTTATGACTATATATTCTCCCATTGATTTATCAGCATAGTAACAATAGCAGAACGGCAGTCATTTATTTCTTTATTTTTTTACTCATTTAATCCGGTAATGTTATACAGTTTGACATTTAGGTCTATATAACTCGCGAATATAACTTTTTCCACTCACAATACTTTAATTAAAGTATGAAATCGTTTAATTATTTGCATCTGAAATTATTCTCAATTGTTTTTTGCTCTCCGATTTACAATTATACATTAAATAAATCCGTTCTCCAGTCGATCAAAACTATTAAAATAAGCTTAAATATAACACCAATAAAACTATTTCCACATATAAAATACAAAGGAAAAAGACTTTAAAGTTAAGTTTATAGAAACTTTCGATTGTCTAGTATAAATTTAATCATTTTTCTTTAATGTATTATCGGAAATAAGGAAAATAAATAAATAAATAAATAAAATACAAGAGTAGTTTATGAAATTTTCCTTGTTCGCAACCGATCATTTACATTGATCGAAATTAACCTGATTGTATATGCATTGAAAATAATCGTAATATTGTCACCAAAATGCTGATAGGTATTTAGGTCTCGTAACAACCTTCCATCATCACGTTCACTAGTGACATACTTTATGGGATGAGGTCTAGTTTTGCTCATGCGCAGATATTTCTGGTATATAAGGCTCGTCTCATCTTAGCTTCAACACAAACCGAGCACCTTACTTATACAGGTAAGTCGTTCCTTATACGTTTACTTTACAATTTACTGAGAAAAGAGCCTTGAATGGATAGTTTCCCGTTGGATTTACGTCTGTGCAACCAACTGAATCTAACCTTGAATTAGTGATAGAAAAGTATTTGTTTCGTTTTTACTTAATAATATATATTTTTCTTTATATTCTCTTCCGTTTTTACAATTTAATCATTCCTTCATTGTATTGACTAGATTTTAAACTTTTTAGATACTTTCGGTGCCAGAAACACAAGCTCGACATGAAATTTTTTGCTGTTTTAGGTAAGTTTTTAATCTTCTTTTTCTTTTCTTTTTTTAATGAAAAATATGTAATTAATAAAATATTAATAATATTTTTTAGCTTTAATATGTACGAGTCTTGTCGCTTCTCTACCCAGAGTAAGTTTTAACTCATTTATTTCTATTAAATTTACAATTATATTCTTTTGTTAGGCATTCACTCTAAACATTGACGTTTTGCAGTGAAAACTAAACGAATTTTTCCATATTTAAGGTCAGGCGAGAAGCTTACAAATTACCAGACGGAGCGGAACTGATAGTAGGTAACATTCAAACTACATTCACTTGTGAAGGATACAGATACGGGTATTACGCCGACATTGACAACAACTGCAAAATCTTTCACGTCTGCCAAACTGTAACACACGCCGACGACACCACCGAGACTTTGCATTGGAGTTTCTTTTGTGGCAACCAAACGGTATTCAATCAACTGAGCCNGAAAGCCTGCTGAATCTTGCGAATGGTTTACACTCGGGTATCGCCAAGGTTTTTGGCAAAATTTGATGTAATATCGCTGCTCACGTTGTTCAGTCATTTTCCAGCTTAGTGAAATCCGACGAGAGCGCACTACATGACCTCACTCATACGCCGATTGCCAACGACTGACGCTTTCTGCAGGCGGGAAAAAATTCAGGGCTGTGCATGACTGTCCCCTCCATAACTCCACCGAAGGAGGCCTCTCTCGCATCATTGGTTTACGCGGAAAAAAATAAGGTCTGATACTTTTTGAACAGACCTTGTATACTATACATGAAGAATGTAGTTTCCATTTATGCTATTTTTTTTCAGATGGTCCCTTTAAAAACACAGAATTTAGTGTTCATGTTTTGTGTGAGTCACTTATATACAGTGCTTGATGTAAAATTATCTAAGTTGTTGCTTTTAGGACAGTGGGTGTGAACCCACTGTTCTAAAAGCAACAATTGATGATCATAATTTGATCATAAACACTTTATCATAATTTTACTACCAAAGGAAAAATTATGTTCTGTCAAGTTTGTTTTAAACAGGTAATATTTAGAATTACTTTTGTTGGGTGAACCAAAGTACAATGATACCTTGTACTTCAAGTGCTCCAGAGTTCAAATGAAAAATTCAACAGAAATTCATCTCTGAGTTTGAGATGTGTGCACAGTGAAAAAATGTGCTCAAAGCATAAACACAATCTGCTGTATGTCCAAATCATCTATCTCTCACTGTCATGCTATGCTAGTATGTTTTCAGTGCTTTTTTTGTTTTATTTTTGATGTGTTTGGTTATATATACTGTATTGTGTTATTTGTCAATTTTTAACAATTTCTTCTTGCAATTTTTCTTTGTAAACAGATTTTGGATGCCCCCATACATTTTGTAGCCTTTAATTCAAAATTTCCCAAACAGAACTTTCTAAGCCACATTTGACATGTTTGAAATCTAGGAGTACCTTCCCCATACACATTACAATTGTTTTTACTGTTTGTATGGTGTTAAATCCTATTCAAAAATTATAAAACAAAATATGTCTGGTATGCTTTTTATCCAAAGACATTACAATTTGATTTTATTCAAACAAGTTGTGAAGTATAGAATTTAAAGTAATACTCTAAACAAAGGATAAAATCTCACATATCTATAATATGTTAAATTTCACAACTGTTTAATTAAATCACACATTTATGCTAAGATGTGGGAGTCCACCTGGAATTTGCATATAACAGACCTTCAACACTCTCCAAGTGAAAACTGATGAATTCAAGTATGTTGCTGAAGCTATTGCTTATCAAAAATCAGTTAATCAGTTTTACCAGCATCTTGTAATGTAGAGAGGAGTTCTCATTTAAAAAGTATTTCAGGAGATAAGAGAACTTTTCCACAGAGTAATTTGGAAAAAGTGCATGTAGTTTATCACAATCACATTGTAATGCAAAAATGATTTTGAAAAACATACAGTAAAATAAATATAGATTTTTTAGAGTAAATTGCCCTATTTTTATTATTTTTAAAATTAAACAATGTAACAAAAATTTTATGAATGAAAATGTAAAACAAATTACTATTGTTTACACAAATTTGTATATATAAATTATAGTATATTATGCTTTGAATCAGTTTGATTAACATTGAGGTTTTTTTAATAGCCTATTTTCAGTATTAGTGTCTCTTGATTTAACTATTTTGAACTTTTAATGCCTATTTATATGATTTTTAGTGTCCAGATTCCTAGTCTTAATTATTAGTCAAGATTCACAATTATGTCTACCTAACACCTCACATTTTATTCCTGAAAAAAAGTTAAGTGTTTCTTTAATATTCATAAATGTTGGAGTTTAAGTATTTAACAAACAGCATTTGCAAACTATCATTTTAAGTTTAATTTCCAACTATTTTCACATTAATTTTAATTTTCAAATTTTAACATTAGTGGTATGTGATGTTATTTAAAAAAATCATGGATGGTAAACTGGTGCAGTAAACAAATTATAGCATTTTACTGAAATTTTTTGATAGTAGTACATCAGATATGTGGAATCATCTTAAGACCAAGCATATTTTACTGCTAAGTCAAAAAAGACAAGTAAATAAAAATGATATTAAATTTCAACCTACACTCGATCACGGAAAAGTAAAAGTTATAGATTAGCTGAATGTATTTCTCAGGTTTTTCCAGACATCAAGATTATGCAGAAAGGTCATGGCTTTATCTACGTACATTACTTGCATTCTTAAACTAGGTCATAGAAATTCAGAGAAAGTGACGCTATCCTAACAATAGCAGACGAGTAGAGATGTCAGAGGTCGAAAATGGAGGGTCACGATGCAAAATCCCTTCACACGGCAAGCACTGGAGCTGAAGAATTTAAGTCATAAGATGGACACTATCTGAGCAGCTCATTTATAATAAAGAAAATGAATAAATGTTTGTGGGAAACATTTTATGACTATATATTCTCCCATTGATTTATCAGCATAGTAACAATAGCAGAACGGCAGTCATTTATTTCTTTATTTTTTTACTCATTTAATCCGGTAATGTTATACAGTTTGACATTTAGGTCTATATAACTCGCGAATATAACTTTTTCCACTCACAATACTTTAATTAAAGTATGAAATCGTTTAATTATTTGCATCTGAAATTATTCTCAATTGTTTTTTGCTCTCCGATTTACAATTATACATTAAATAAATCCGTTCTCCAGTCGATCAAAACTATTAAAATAAGCTTAAATATAACACCAATAAAACTNTATATATAATATAGATATTAAATGGATAAATTTTAAAATTTTATCGGTATATACCGCCCCCCTCCACCGAAATGATCTACGTAATGTTTATTCAAGAGGATCCCTTCCCAGGATGGCAACGTTCTGAAAACAATAAAGTAATATCGACCAGACGAAGGACAAGACTAAGAAAATGGGAACGCCTATTTACTCCACCCATTAAGCAAGTTAGAAACCCATTAAGCAGTTTTATTCACCCATTAAGCAGTTTTAAGAAAACAATCACATATAGTCCTTGTACGGGAAAGTTTGCAATTATATTACCATCTTTCAAAATTTTTGTTTTTAATATTGCATTTAATAGCTTGGTTTTTTTTTTGGTTTTACACATAAACAAGTCCTACGATATGACGTAATATGTTAAATAGATTAGAGAGAAATTTCATAGGACAATTTTGGTAAATGAAATTTGTATGTATGGGTTTTAAATTGTGCAATTAATTAACGAAAGTAAACACGTTTCTAAGAAGAGAAAGATCAGNATTCTGTTTTTAATCGTTTTTGCGATGAAAACAATGGAATTTAAACTAATTTTTATTGAATTTCTGTTCGATCTTTGTATACTTTCGTTGTCATTACACCGATAACGCGTTTCTACTCGTATATAAGTAATTATGAATAATTTCCCTTCAAATTGACTATACACTTAAGTGTAGTTAAAAGGAAATTCCGTCATCCGGAAGGGGAAATTCCCGTGATGTGTTAGAATTAGAATGACATCAAGAATCATCAATCATTCGAGAATTTACTACCTGTTTATGTGTATTACCTAGAAACGGCATTTGTTCATTTTCGTAAGTTACGTTACCGGATAAATTATTATATCTTGTTTTTCCCTCCTTACTATATAATTATTTATATTATAAGAAAAAAAAAGGTAGAAAATTTAAATTTTTACGTATTTAAATCCTTCAAAATAATAAGTTTATTCTTAAACTAACTCAAAGTAATTCCATTTTTTTAAGCTTGATAATCGCTTTAGATGAGATGTGGTCACGGCTTTCGCATTATGAGAAGCCAACCGGTTTTATGTTAGGTAGCATATACAGAGAGGAAAAAAAAGATGCATTTCTTAAAAGCTCGTTATCTATTTCCTCAACAAATTAACCGCATTTACTATCATTTGAATGGGCTATAATCATTAAAGTTTCGTCTTAGTAAATTTAGAAGCAATGGGATATTTCGCCACTTTAAAATTTAAAGAAAGTTGCTAATAGTTTTTCTCTTATTACAAATAAAAAGGTAATCTTCCCTCATAAAAATTCATAATTAATGAAAAAAAATGCATATTCTTTTTATAATATTAAAGAAAAATTCTTATTGTAGATTGCTAATTCCTATTACAAGTTGACCCCCCTATAACACTGTTGATAATTCCGTTTTATATGAATTCCATGTTGTACGAGTCACTTAGATTTTACAAATACGTGTGCCGGGCTGTGAACTGTTCACATATTTGTAAAATCTAAGTGACTCGTACAACATGGAATTCATATAAAACGGAATTATCAACAGTGTTATAGGGGGGTCAACTTGTAATAGGAATTAGCAATCTACAATAAGAATTTTTCTTTAATATTATAAAAAGAATATGCATTTTTTTTCATTAATTATGAATTTTTATGAGGGAAGATTACCTTTTTATTTGTAATAAGAGAAAAACTATTAGCAACTTTCTTTAAATTTTAAAGTGGCGAAATATCCCATTGCTTCTAAATTTACTAAGACGAAACTTTAATGATTATAGCCCATTCAAATGATAGTAAATGCGGTTAATTTGTTGAGGAAATAGATAACGAGCTTTTAAGAAATGCTTCTTTTTTTTCCTCTCTGTATATGCTACCTAACATAAAACCGGTTGGCTTCTCATAATGCGAAAGCCGTGACCACATCTCATCTAAAGCGATTATCAAGCTTAAAAAAATGGGATGAGGTCTAGTTTTGCTCATGCGCAGATATTTCTGGTATATAAGGCTCGTCTCATCTTAGCTTCAACACAAACCGAGCACCTTACTTATACAGGTAAGTCGTTCCTTATACGTTTACTTTACAATTTACTGAGAAAAGAGCCTTGAATGGATAGTTTCCCGTTGGATTTACGTCTGTGCAATCAACTGAATCTAACCTTGAATTAGTGATAGAAAAGTATTTGTTTCGTTTTTACTTAATAATATATTTTTCTTTA